ATTGTTCAGTAATAAGTATATTAAGTATATACCTAATTGATAAAGTACATATTATTACTTTTCAACAATTTTTTTTTTTTTAACTTATCGTGTACATCTATTTCAACAGTTTGGTGCCTTTAAATATTTAACGTAGCCAAGCTTGATAATCTACTGTGTGACATAATATTACGTAGATAATTTGTATTAGTTACCTATAGTTTTGAAAACGACCTTTCTGCAGATGCAGAAGTGACTAGTTATAAAAATAATTAAATCAAATTTCACATCGTTATTACTTAATATTGGTTACAGTACAATCACCGAATAAAATAAGAAAGAACGTTAATGGTTCATGTCATACATCACCGAATTTATTTTATAGACATTAAACCATAGATACTAGGTGTGTGCACTGAACACTAACTAATTGACTATCACTGATTATATTAAGAACTTCATTGCTCATTAAAAGACGTAATAAGCATAAAAATAATAAAATATTTATCATATAATAAATAATATATTAATACCAGGTACCACCAACCAAAGTATTAAGCGTTTATAAAGATAGGCTCTCAAACAGTAAACACTAAACAGCTAATTAGTTGTGGTCGTCGTATTATTCTAAGTAATAATGTATTACCATGTTATAATTTATAATGTGTGGCATGCCGCCAACCGTCGTCGTTGTTGGTCAGTCCGTTCTTCCGACTAGAGTACAAGACGACAAACGACGACGAATCGACGAGATAAAATTTGATTTTATGGAAAAATAAAATCGATTGTACCTGGAAACGTGAATATTCATTCGTCAATTCCTATTATTCTTGACATAACACATACATGATTCTACCTACAGTCCTATTTTAACACCATAATATTATCTAATATTAGTATAGGCAATTAGTACTTACTACACTTATGTTTCAACTTTAAAAAAAAATTTCTCTGTGAGTAATCGAGTTGTGCGTTTGTACTTTGTAGTGTTTACTCCAGGCTGCCCCCCCCTAATTCATATAAGCCTTGGGGCCCGTGTTCGCGGCACACTCGCTTTTTGCGGCTTCGGCACTGCTCAGGCAGTAGACAGTCGTAAAAAATTTGTTTATAATTTTGGGAACATTTTATTCCTTCCGAAATTATTTATCGAAAAGGATTGTTTCAGATTGTATTCCCTTTTTGGAGTTTTGGAGTGTACACAGCAAATATAAATGTTTTTTAGAAATGTTCTACATATTCTTTATAAAAATACCATAGTCACACAAATAGAGACTTGTTCAAAATCTTTTCTAACTATTGTTTAGTGACAAGCTCATTGTCACGTCCATAATCTATAAAGACTGTGCATTATTTGTGTATCGTATAAAAGACTTCTGACAATATTTTCAAGACCAGTACTCTTCAAGAAACGATACGTCCGAAATTATAATTGTAAATCCTTTGTGTTTTTTTCTTTCTTTTGAATTGTGAAATTTTGAATTTTGCTGCATAAGTACCTTGGATAAATATTAAGATATTTCGATAATATGCGAACTTGACCGAACGATTGTTAGCAGTTGAATAATCATTAATCATAATTAGAGCTCCGAAGTTGTAGGAGCTAAAAAGGCAAAATATGCACAAAAAATTATAAAATATGCGTTAAAATTATGACAATTATGCAAAAAAAATATTCTAAATTCAAAAAAAAAAAAAATACATCAGATATTGTTAATAAATTAATAAAATAATTATATACATATATAAAATCTGTATATATGTAACTGAAAAAAATTATAACTGGTTGATATTTTGACATATTATTGAGTTAAAAATATAATTAAAAATATTTTTTTTTTAATTACGATAAATACTTTCATTGAAAATTTTGAGTTTTATATTCAATATTAATTGTAATACACATATAGGTACCTACAGATTAAAAAAGAAAAACATCAATTTTTTTAGAAACATATGAAATATGCACTTTTTTAGCTAAAATTGATAAAATATGGAATTCAATTTTCAATTTTTCAATTCTCCATTGTACAGATTAGATTTCTAACTTGGTTTGCTATAAATTGAGAGCACACAGAACAATATGCAATTCCTACAACTTCCGAGCCCTAATCATAATGTTAACATTACTAACAAGTAAACATTCGACAGCAGAAGTCATAAAGTAATAATTTAGTAGTATAATTATATTATCTACCTAGGTATCCAAGTAAATATATTATACCGAAATCTAAATATAATTTTAATATATTATTATACATTAAATTTTAAGTACAGACGTGTTATCTGATTTTTCTAGTAACGCTACGGCGCGACGATGTGATAATATTTTATATTTGCGATAACGATACGGAGATATATTGTACGCACACCGATACACGTCAGATAATAATTTTTGAGATCGCGAAAAAAATGTTTATTTTTCGTTCAAACAAATAATTCTAATTTCAACATTACATCGCAACGATTACCTCAATTTGTATTCGGGAAAAATATTTTCATATTTCACAGCGTGTACGACCGATCGATCGAGGTACATTTTTATAACTGTATTTAGTTGATTAAATATTTTGGTTTGAAATTTTGCAAATTTTCGAAAATGTTAACTAAAACTATTGCAGTCTACGTTACAAAAATTAAAAACGTGGCTCGATCAATCCCTCGTACGCACTATGGTGATTCCTATAATATTTCTTCAGAATGAAAATCGTGATTATTGTCGACACGTATTGTTATAATTAAAAACGGTAGTTAGCTTTTGATAAGGAAACACACATTTATGAGACCCATTAATATTTCTCCGAAATCATTACATTTAAAAATATCTTTGTGTGTATAAAGTATGATGATATTATATGGTTACCTACTTGCGTAAAAGTTTTATATCTCCGTGAGTACCTGATATTTTTGAACTACAACAAAAAAATCAATGTCGCTATTTATTGTTTAGATTATGTGTAATTTTGTCTAAATACTAACTTAAAATTTCTTTAAAATAAATCTATGTATTATTTTTACCATTTAAGTTTTACAGTGGCGGTGCCAAGGACGAGCCAGATGATAGGGCCATGTCCCTAGCTGAAAATGCCTAGCCCTACCACTGACCTAACTTTAGACATAATAATTCATTCATTTTTTATAACCAGAAAATAATAATGGTACTTGTATTTTGTTCACGGTACAGTCTGTACGTAATTTAGATTGATATACTTCTAGATTATATCATATAACTTTTAAAAATTATATATTTTTTTTTCAAATCGCGTATTTTTTATAAATATTTTATATTTTTTTGTTTAAATCTCATTTTTTTGTGGCCTTACCTTTTAATAGTTGATCTTCCATTGGCCCTACCTAGAAAAAAATCTTGGTGCTGCCTCTCAATTTTAACCTCGACTGTTCTAAAGGTTCATCATAATTAATATTATAATTAAACTAATATTTTCATATTCAATATAACCTACCTATATTGATGATTTTTATTAGCTACCTATTACATTATAACCCCGTTATACTGTATCCTTTTTTCACGTATCTACTATCCAGTAGTGTAGTGTGTCTTTTGTATATGAAATTATCATTTATCAATTTAAAATTATATAAATTAACTTTTAAATAAACTTAAATAAAATTAAATCAAGTATAGACATATATTGCATGTAAAAAAATTAATATGATATACATTAATCTGACAATTCGGTTATTTTTTTTAGAAATATTTATTAAATAATTTGATATAAATACTTAGTAGTGATCTGATTTTAATGACCATAATTTCACTCAAACATGTAGGTATTTAAAAATGTTAAAATATGCAATAATAATTAAATATTCTTTAAATCCATTAAAAATATGATTAATGATAATTTTTTCACAGATCTATGTGGAAAAAATATTAAATATAATTTAAAATTTAAAATAATGTACTATAGATATTAAAACTTCATGAATAAATTTATAAATGCATGAAACATATAATTTATTAAAATGTTTTGCACAATCAAATAGTACTTACTTGTCGACTGTCGTACTGACATTTTCATAGGTGAGCTGTGATTATGTCACAAATATAAACTTACAAAAATGATTTTATGTTTTGTACAATTGTCTATGCTTGTAAACAATTAATAGTAATATTTTTTTTAAATGTTTAAGATAATAATAAAATGGAATATTTTTAGTTTTTTCTTATTAGAAAATTAGAAATATATAATACTACTAAATCTAAAAATGATCAATCACTATTTTAAAATATATATTCAAAAACTTCAAGAATTTAAATGATATGCAAAATTGAAAAATAAACTTCAAGTATTTAATAAAAAGATATTTTTAGTAAACCTTTAGTGTTATTTTAAAATTCCTATCAATTGGCAATTGACAGAATATCACAAATACTTAAATTAATAAAATCAATATTTTTTTATTAGGAATATCCTATATATCTTATAAAATAATTATTGATCTACATATTTAAGACTATGCTATCTATCATGCACTGGAAGTGCTATTGAAGTTATAAATACTAGTCAAAAATTATTTAATTTAATTTTAATGACATGTGTAATGATACTGGAAGTAAAGAGCCATATTCGTTAACATTTAAGACCTATTATATATTGCTAAAAGTTAAAATATGAAGTCCTATAATCTACAATTAGAATTTTTAAATGAAAAGTTGTGAACATTACTTAAGGTTTGGATAAATATGCTGTAAAAAAATATTTAGCAGTGTTTATACGGTTACCAAAACATTTGTTATTGAAAGAATAATATTGCTATCTATACCCTGCCAAAACACATAAAATAAATAATATAATGTATGTTATTAAAGAACACTATGTTATTATTACATTCAATATCAATCGTACTAATAGTTTATAAATTAATAATTTGTAATTCAGTTTTTTTTTTTGTTTTACGAAAAACTATTAGTTCTACGCTATCATCATTTTGATAGTTTGTACATCTCAATATTAATTTGCTTACAATAATAATAATAATAAAGAAAAAAAAATAAGTAAAGTATAAACATAATAAAACAAAACATTAAAAATAATAAAACGAAATATAAAAATAATTACAAGGCTTCAGTTGTAGTTGGACTTGAAGAAGTGGACGAAAATTCAATTATTTCTTGTTTAGAACTGATAACTTGTTGTGGCTGAACTTTTTGCAAATCAACTGTAGTAATTGACTGTTTAGTATCAACTGCTCGAGAATAATTTCCCAGTTTAATTTTTTTTGATGGTTCGTCCTCCTCGTCTGATGTCAAATCGATTAGAAAATTTGATTTCAAAGTCTTAGATTTCTGATATGAAACTCCTGAATTAGGTTCTTTTTCCGACTTAATCAATTTTTCATTGCCACTATTTAAATTAACAAAACTAACAGGCTGTACTTTAGACTCTTTACGTTTTTCATCGTCGCTATCCGAATCCATAAGTTCAATTGATTTTACTTCTTTAGAGACATGTGTGTTATTCTTTTTTATTTTCAAAACTCTCTCCCATGATCCGTCAGCACAAATTATAATTTCTTGGTCACCGTCTTCAAGTCTAGGACTTGTCACGATTTCCATAAAATAACTTTCAATTTTTATTTCATTGTATGAACAAGATGCATTACAAATTGGGCAAAGCCATGTTGATTTTTTCTCGTTCATTCTAATGAATGTATCTGCATCAAAACATTTTATATGATCACAATTGATCGATTTTGCAGGTATCTTCATTCTAGTTCTACTCATTGGACATAACAAAGAAAAATGATTTGATGTGATGGAAAAATCTGGATCAGAATTGATTAATTTATCAACAATCTCATTTTTTGTATCCTGTGAACTCTTTGCCTCTTTATCTTGAAGATTTTTGATTAAAATATCTGCACTTATTTTTTTTACAATGCATATTGTAATGGCATATTTTTTTCCATCAGGAGTCCAATTAATTTTGATCAGATTTGAAACATCAGGACTTAAATTCAGTTGACAAGTACAATCAATAGGGCTTGCAGGTCGTCTAAATTCAGGTCGTTTTTTTAAAGGAATAGGTGGCAATGGACAAGGTTGATCTCCAACTCGAACATAGAGTCGATTGGGAAAAAAATCTGAGACCTCAAAACACCCGGGTTCTATTTGACAAATTCTAATTTGACATTGATAGAGACATTCTTGTTTTGAGTTTGAAATATCACGATTTAAAGATAACAGGTTTATTTGCTCTGCAGACATCTTGAATGTAAATACAAATTCTTTTAAACCTAAAATAAAATATTATTAATAAATATAATTAACTCAAAAAGAGTGATAATAAATAAATTTATACCTTTAGGTGGATTTTTTAATGTACATTGGTTACCCAGGCTATTTAGAGGAGTTAACCCAATAATTTCTTCAATAATTTCAAAAAATGGCAGTTTTTTAAACTTGTAATCATTTAGAGAATGGAATAAGTTGATGTGTGTTGATTGTAAAGAGAAGTGCGGTGGTTGGTTCATATTTTTTTTAGGGTAAGTAAATGACTGACAATCTCTGATTTGGTTAAATTTGAGTAAAACAGGGCTTCAAATTACTATGCAAATTTGGTTGTATAGACTGAAATAATTCAACTATTTTTGATTTTAATTCTGCAACGTTGAGGTCTTATTGTGTACTGTACACCTTAACAATTTAATTGCCTGATTAATTAGTTCAGATCTTGTTCTTCTGATATTTTGATTAAAAGCAGCATAATCTCTTCACTAAAAAAATAACTCTTAACATCTAAAAAAAAAAAAAAAAATAATAATTTTTTATTAGGTACATTTATAGTTATGATTAAATAAAAATAAATAATATAGAATCATCTTTATATTTTAAAGATATAACATACCTAATTCTAAATTTTTCTGTTAATGTTTTAATAATAAAAACCTAGTCATTATCTTCCAATATAATTATGTATAATAATGAAAAAGTTTGATAGACTATTGTAAAAGCCTATTATTATTATTTTTATATAAAAACTTGGTTTTTCTAACCTTAATCATATTCAAATTTGAGACTAAATTCATTAAACCATGTTGAATTATAATTGTTAGCTAAACATTTCTATTATACTTAACTATTACATTCAATGAATTTAAAAATACATATTTAAATCTATGCTCTGACCCAAACAATAATTAATCCTCAATATTTCTATTTTAACTTTTTTATTTTATCACATTTAACCAACTTCTTATTTAATACGGTGTATATCATTACTTTATGATTAAAACATTTTAATTGGCACTTAAGTGTGAGCCTGTTAATAATACTTGTAATATTTTTAAACTTGAATGTATTAAAACTAATAGAAATGATAGCATACAGAGTATAACAAAAAGACCAGACAAACAAAAATGAAAAATTAATACATTCAAAACATATGAAAAATATAAATATATAATTAATAATTTAATAATTAAACTCATGCCTGAAAATTTCCAAAAATAATATCATAAAAAAAGTAATTATATTTCAAATTAATTTACTCCTAAAAAATATTGGTATTTTAAAATTTGCAAAAAATACTGTACTTGTAGCACAAACGTCTATGACTTATAAATAAAAAAAATAAAATGAAAAGTTAGAATAAGTTATTTAATTTACAGGTTTTATGTTACACTCTGGATACACATGGTGTATCGCCGCATTGATCTGACACAATCGAATGCAATATAAAATTGTCGTATTACTATGATACCTTATGAATAGAAATACATATAGTATATATATATATATAGTACACATAAATAGATAATGATATGGCCAGTTAACACTACAATAATGCTTGGTTGTTGGCTTATAGTAAGTTGATATTTTAAAACTAAAAATGTATAAATAAAAAAAAAAAATCAGTTCTTAGAAGTTTTTATGTTGCAACAGTAGATTTCGGGAATCGATGTTTTTGGGGAGACTTCAAATGTAAATAACATGAACATTTTCAACACTAATAGATTCAATATCTTGTTTATTGCAAAAATAATTTAAAAACGAACATGGATAGTGGGTACTAAACCACACCATTTCCTAACAATAGTTCTCCGAGTTGTATTAAACAATTTGAGAATGGTTACACAATGATTACCTGTAGAAACGAGTAGGTACCCTGCGCGGACGAACGGTGAACGTGAAATAGTGATATTCGCATTCGTCTTTAATGAAGCCGTTTAAAAACTGTGTCGAAGTGGCGTTATCTGCGGCAATAAGAAGGCTTAGCTTCCAATGACCGTGTTGCTTAGCGTAGGCGTATGAAATTACACGGCCAAACGATCGCATGCGCGAAAACGAGTATTTACTAAGACTAATATACTTAATACTTATTTCCCGATTTTGATAACAACGAGATATCACCAAAATCAAAGTTCGTGTGAAAAGTTTTTTTTTTACATAGCCGACGTTGCCAACGTAAAATTACAAAAACCTTTGTATAAAATAGCTAAAAATCTGACAACCGCTTATCAACTATAAATACTGGATATTAACACTAACTTGAATGTAAATTTAAAATCCGATTTAAAATTAAAATTGATTTAAAACAACTCTTTCCATGCGAAAATTAATACAATTGCTGAAGTGGCAAACAACAGAGTATCAGTATTAACAATGGCGTTATTGTACCTCCCACAGTATCACAATGTTAACCATAAAAAATTAGTACTAAGACATGTATAAAAACAATTAGTTATACATAAAATACATTTAAATATACTGCAATATTTTTGCAATTATTAACAAAACTGTTCTAATTTTTGTCAACTCAGTAATCAGTCGAAACACCAAAATGAACATAATAATATTTCCTATCGATAAATACAACATTTTTATTACCTTGGGTCCACGTCACTGAGAGAAATCACGTAAATTGATACAGCACAAAATCAATTTCAACATAAAACACGAACGATGTCATTCAAATAACAATAATTCAACAAATTCTAACAAAAACAAGTTCAAAATAATATTATTATATATTATGTATTTTAAATTATATTAAAATATGTAATATAATATCATATGTTATTAGTGTTATGTGTTATTACTTATTAATATTGTTTATATTTTAGTTAATAATGTTAATATTATAATTTATAATGTATGTAACTACCCACCTACTAAAAATACACTACCACAGTTCATTCGACCGTAACTGAAGATTTTTGATGTATCAACTATGGTTCTAAATTAAAGACTGACTGAATAAAAGCCATTTTAGTTTTCATGATTAATACATTTTTTAAACCCATTGAAGTACATAAAAACCATTTATAATTATCTATCATTGGTTACTTTTTGTATATTTATACGAAATTTAGAATTCCTTAAATTGGCGAACACACGGAATAAATATAAAATAAATAGTTATTTTACACATTTTTAAAGTATTTAATAATTTTTTTTTTTTTGAGTGGGAAGGGGGTACAGACCCCTTGCATTGAGGATTGTCTAACTGCACTGGACAACAACGACCTTTACCATACGGAGAACAACACACATCCGGGAACACACCAGAGGCCGTCGACGGAATGACTTACACAAGATACTGCGGATTACATTTCTGTAACGATCATCGTTGTCCTCAATCACTGGACAGAGATCTACAGATCACTGAAAGGACAACACTGAAACAAAACGACGTATCCGCAAACGGTGCTTTTTAAGACCAGTCACTCAGTATAAAATAACTTAAATCCTGAAATCCAGTGTCTATTAATAAAATTATTGTAACTATGACATTACTTTTTAAAATAATTTTCTATTTGAAGAGTGATTGAATATTTATTTCGTCCCTCACTCAAATTGAGTAATGAATTCATAATGTACCTATATGACGATTTAGAGTGTTAACAATAAAATACATTCGTGTAATTATTCTTGTTTGTAATAGGTATACAACAGAATATTAGATAATTTTAGGTCAAATAATAAAATAATATAAACACATAACAATAATGTAAATAGGTACTAAATAATATATTACACGTCTGTTCAAATCAATTAACCAACTACTCTTCGAGTTACTATTAATACATTTTTTATAATTATTTTAAGTTTTTATAAATATTATTTTTTCAGGCGTAATTAGAGAATTATACCTTTCTCATTAAAATTTACACTCATAAAATTTAAGAGCAAGAGACACTGTAGCACCTTAGTCATCCTGTGACTATGTGTTATTTATTTAATTTTAAGTATTATTTTTATTTTTATGCATATAGTTCAATATATTTTCTATTCTATCAATTTTTGGAATAAAATTTATTTTTGATATCATAATTCATTCTTGTAATAGAACGAGTCAAATTTATTAAAGTACTTATTCTGCCTGAAAAAATGATTATAATTTATAATTTTCACAAATTTACCATTATTGGCAAAAACTTTATAAGTTAAAGGATTTTTCATGAATATTGTGTAGAAATTAACACGAGTAGTATTTATATGTTATCCATAAAATGTTCACTTATTTCACACTAATTTATGACACTGACCCTACTTTCTTGTGGGTATTATTAATTTACAAAAATCCATGTTTAGACTTAATCAATTCAATTAAAACAAAATTAATATAAACAACAATTTATGATTTATATTACTATATTAATATAAACACTAAATATAAACATTTATTAAAAATGTATTGTAATGTATGTCAAATGTTTAATAATATAATATAATTTACGTACTTAGAATTTTAATTTTTTTGAAAATGTAAATAGGTATGTATGTTTTATTCGATTAAAATTACATAAAGAATGAGTGAAAAGTTTACTATTGCTGCTCTCATTTATTTTTAAAACTTTAAATCAAAATATTTTTGAAGTCTTAGTAAAACTTAAGCTTATACTTTTTTAATGATATAATGTTGTTAATTGTAATATATTATGAAAAGTCGTGCAATCGCCACTATACCACTGCGTCCTAACTATATATTTTTATTGTTATATTTAGTAGTACCATCTAACAGTGTATAAAATTAAACCTTTTAAGTTTTTTTTCAGTTAAAGAACATAACTAATAATGAGTATTAAATATAAATTACCATTGTCACTTTCATTGCACTGTTTTTGTAACTGATTCATAAGTATAAATGTTTCATTTTAAATTGTAATACTACAATATCATATATCCTTTTAAAAATATATTTTATTTTTAATTGAATTTATTATAGATTTCAGTTTTGATAATGAAACACATTAAAAAACTACAATAAAACTGAATAAAAGAAATTATTAAATTACATAATGTATAAATTATTAATATAAAAATAAATATACAGAATAAAGACTTGTTTCATTATGATAATGTTTTTATTTTAAGCTAAAACATTTATTCAGACAATTAAGATTTGATTGGTAATCAAAATTTAATTTTCTTATGGTTTATGTACCTGCTTTAAATTCAAATTTATGGAAATAAATTAATTCCTCCTATATTGATACAAATTTATAACAAAAATATTGGAAAGTAATATACCTAATAAACAAACTTTAATCATTAATTTGTAATTTAAAATTAAAAGAATAAGACGAACCAACCAAAATTGCATTAAATAGTATTTGTTTTGTGCAGCCATCTAATGTTTTTTCTAAAGCAAATATAATGATTTTTGAGTTAACCATTTAACATATATATGGAATATTCTATTTCTGCCTTCAACAACCATTGTAATCTGGTATAAAAATTAATAAAATTAAACTCTATTATAATATAATTAAAAGAAATAAAAACAACATACTTCTAATTCAATTTGATCATTTCCAATAAGATGTCTTGTGTTGTTTTGGCCTTCAAAAACTGGTTGAAGATAACAAAAAATTTTACCGTACGCTGAAACCATAGTTTGAAAAACTTCACAATTGACTATTTGTAGACATTTATTTGGTTTAATATTAATGTCATAAAGATATATATAATCATGTGGCACTGATATTTTAAAACGATTAGCACTAAGCACAAATAAACAACCTTTCCTTCCAATATTTGACCAGTATGGACAATTAGAGAAAACATACAATTTTTTATTAATGAACAGATCATAAATATCCAAAATTTAATTTATTAGAACACTTGGAAAATTTAAAACAATTTTGAAAGTAACTTTATTGGTTTTAGAATGATGGTACAATTAAAAATTGTTATTCAAACCTTTGGAACTTAATCAACATGAATATTTAAAATATAACTATAAATATTTTAAATTATTCCTATGAATTTTACCTGGTACATTAATTTGCTTTAGTCGCAATGTCTTAGGTTGAAAAATGTCCAACGCTCCAGATAGCTCTTGAGCTAAAACATTTAAGGTTTTACGAGTTATCAAAAAAACTTAATTAGAACATTTTGTTTTTAGTGTCAATTAATCATACAGTTATCAATTATGTAAAATATAAATGTTTGTTTATAAACGCAAATACCTAACTGTAGCACTTAAGGTACTTTCAGACTGGTAATAACATTGATATAGGAAGATTTCCCCAATGAGTTTGATTTAAGACATTTTTCTAATATTGCTTGTTAATATACATTTAACACTTTTTTTTTTTTTTATAAGTAATTAACAATCTGTATCAGTATTAAACACAATAAGAAAATGAGGTAAGGTAAATGAGACATGAGGTTTTTGTTGAAAGAAGCCACCCATTGATGACACTTTTATTTAAAAACTATCTATAAATACAAACATTTTAAAAATACCAGCTGTAAAGGTATTAAAAATTTATATAAATTTAACTTATTTACAAAATAATAATTGTAGAATTGAGTCCCTTAAATTACTGTCGTTAACTAAAACAGAAGTATCCTATAAAAATGAGAAAATAGTTTATTTTTTTTTTATTATTAAAATAGAAAATGTACAATCTGTAACTTGTATTATAAGCAAATAAGATATTACATGGAAAATATTTACAAGATGATATAATGTGAGGAGGGAGGCATCCAGTGACAAAATCCTCAATGAGAAAAGTTAATGGATAAATTATTAGATATAAATGTGTAATATACCTAAATTCCAATAATCAAAACACATTCGTTACAGAATACAAATGAAATCTTAAAAATATTTGTCTATGTTAAGTGTTAAATTACCCTTAACTATACATGTTAAAAGGGCAACACTATCGTCTTTGATATGGATGATATCGAACTTGTCTGTTTTTGTATCGAGGTGGAGGAAGTGGAGGTTGATTAGTTCTAGTATTTAAACCACGTTTATTTGGTGTATTTGCCCTGAAATTTAGATAAGCTGGATCTGAATAACGTTGACTATCTCCTTCAATATAAGGTGGACCACTTTCATTGCTGTAATGTGAACCACCATCTACACGACGTTGAGATCTATTACCATAGCTACCACCAACAATTACACCATCTCGATTAAGTATACGACTATCATTATATTTTTGTCTGTTTTCTTTTTTATTGTAATTTTCACCATAAGGCTGTCTCTGAGGAACAGATTTACCAATGAGCTGAATAGAACCCATCGTTTCATGTGGGCTATTTTGTCCAGGAACTATAGAATTAATATTTGGAGGCTGAGAAAACATAGAGTTTGCATATGATTGAGCAGTATTTTTAAGTAGAAGATAAGGGTATATCGAAGGAAAACCAGAAAGTAGTGTTGGTGGTGGTGGTGGTGGCGGTTGCAAGGGTGGTGGTGGCAATTGAGTAGTAATATCTTGTGGCATTAACATTTGATTTGTTGCTGTTGAAGGGGGTGGTAGTGGAGGAAGTAGTGGTAATAATGAAGGAGGTGATGGTGATAGTGGAGGAGGTGTTGGTGGTAGTGGTGAAGATGGTGGTGGTAGTGGAGAAGATGGTGGTGATGGCATTGTAGGCAGTGGTAATCTTGTTGATGAAAGTTGGGGTGATAATAGTGGAGGGGGTGGTAGTGGAGGTGGTGGTGACATTATAGGTGGTGGTGGCATTGTAAACAGTGGTGGTCTTGTTGATGAAACTTGGGGTGGTAATGGTTGAGGTGGTGGTGGCATTTTAGGCAGTGGTGGTTTTGCTGATGAAAGTTGGGGTGGTAAT